ACCCAAAAATCCCAAAAGAAGGGAAGAATGAAGGAGAAGAGACTGTAGCATAACTATGCTCCATGGGAGTTTCTGTCTCACTTTCCCTATCTCTCTGTCTCTCAACAGAGAGCACATGTATCCTCCGCAAATTGGGAGGGAAGGGTGTCAAACATTCTGTGTCCCAATATTAATACTGAGTTCTTTATTTAAAAAAAAAAAATTAGTAGCTGCCTAAGTGCTGAAAATATATAATTAATTAAAAGCCCGTTTAATCAGAAATTCTTTTAAAACATATTGGTGCTGCACTCACATTTCCATCAGCCTAAGTTTTAATAGCCTGAGATTTCAGAGAATCCCCTGCCTTGCATATGGTGGTCTGGAAACACCAGGGAATGAACATGCCTTGGGAGTAGTCATCCACTTTCTGTACTGCAGAACCCTTTCCTCTTGGAAGGGGCAACAGGTTCATGCAATTTCCACTTGTCCTAGAATTTCCCAGAAGAATAACCCAAGCTCACTTAGACTGCTAACTTGTTTGTTCATGTGTCGTTTATTAGTTTCCTTCTTTGTTTCAATCCCCATATTTTTCTAATAGTCATTCCTATAGTTACTTTCCAAATAAACATTTAAACTTGAATTCCCTAAGTCTTTCCTAGAGTTACTTTCCAAATAAACAATTTAAACTTGAATCCTTGTCTCAATGACTATTTTGGGGGAAACCTAATCTAAGCAGATACCAATGGTAGTCTTAGTAAGCAGATCCTTAGACTGGGATTCTAGAATTAAACGATTCACCAATCACATGGCAACAAATAGGTATGCTGCTCATAATTATCTTCGGAAATCCTCTGCAGATGCTATAGCATCATAACTACTGAGATCTTCCTCTGTGGTGACTGAAACATAATATACAGTGTCTTGAGGATATAGGGACAACAGTTCTTATAAAGCTAAGAGTTGGTTAGTTGTTAAGTTTTCATTGAAGAAAAAGATAGCCTCGGATCAGTCAACCATTAACTGAGTGAAGGAGGAAAGCCAAAAGTCTTCTATGGCAGCAATAAATGGATTCTCATTTCTTGTGTGGAAAGGTCAATATGTAATAGAATTTGCTTTTGAGAATCAGAGGATTATAAAGGAGGCATTCAAAAACCTGGCAGGTTTCCAGGTAAAAGTCAGGGCACTTATGGGCAAGGAGTGGAACCTGAAGACTAGGATATAGGACAGTGCACAATGATTATATGTAAACAACTAAAAAAGAAAATGAAGACAGTCACCCTTTAATCTGCAACTAAGGCTTTAGTTTAGAGATGATAATCTCACTTGGGATGCGTACTTTCAAGATGCACTATATATATATATATATATATATATTTGTATGCACTATGTGCTGGCGCCAGTGTGTACCTGATCAGGAAGAACAATGGTTACTTTTCAGTAACCTGTAAAGCCTTTGGAGTGTGAAACAGACCATGATAGGAGTATTTACAACACACAAATTGGCAAATGCTACAGATCAAGTGTCTTCTACACCCCACTGGCTCTGTCCCCAGAAGGTAGAATTTATGAGTGTGGGAAACAGAGAGAAGAGGAGGAATGGTACCTGTCACCATAACTCAAAGTGACCCAACTGGGAAACTATATTCCCATTCGTGCAACTACAGGCTCTGCTGTAATAACTATTTGGCTCTCCAGTGTGGGGAAGATGCGGAGTGGAGAGAAGGCAGTTCTCCTACCAGGGTCATGTAAAAATGCAACTATGCCTAAATCTATAGCTACTAACTGGGTGTGTTTTCTTCTCAGGTCGGTAGTTCAACATGTAAAATACAAATAAAAGTAAAGTCAGTTATTCTACTGCTGGGGTCCAGTTGACATGGAGCTTGTCATCAGGGTTGCAACATAGTGTGGAAAGGGAACACTATGCATGAAACTCAGAATAATCATTCAAGCTCTTCCATGCATGGTGATTAACTGTGAAAAGATGACTGAAGAATCCGCTTGTGAATGGACACTGACACCATGGACTCATTGGCCTCTGGGGTAAAAATCTAGGTAATCCCACCCTAGCACACGAGCGGGTCAAAGATGCAGAGAAATTAGGAAAGGTTTTAGGACACAAAAAAAGATGAATATATATTCTGACCTTGGTTCTAACTCTAGTGGTCCACTTTCCTAATGCACTGTATTTATTTATTTATTTGTTTGTTTGTTTGCTTATTTATAAATAGTGACCAGTCTCCATATTTAAGAATCATTGACTAGATTGAGTGGACAATGGTTAGCCTTCTATCATCTATAACTTTTTGTTTCAAGGCTCCCTCTTGTGGCCAGAGTCTGTTCTGCCCACCCACAGGAAAGGACCAGTTCGTAATAACTCAGATAGCTTTGCGTAGGGTAACTCTGAAGTGAATATTCCATAATAATATATGGATTCAAGAATTCATGATTAGGGACCGGAAGTTGGCGTAATGGCTATGTTGCCGGACTCCCATAGAGTCGACCGTGTTTCAAGTCCTGGACCCGGTGGCTTAAACTCACGCCACATGCGTGTGCATGCGTGGGTGCCCAAGATCCCGAGAGGAGAATGGAAGAGAAGAGATAGCATTGTGGCCATACCTCCTGGGGGGTGATTTCTTGCTTTCTGTCTCTCTCTGTCTTTCTGGCAAGTGTGCGTGCCCTATAGCAAAAATCTCTAAAAAAAAAAAAAAAAAAAAAGGGACCCCAAAGTTAGCAAAGGTGCTAGTTGCTCCCACGTAGTCGACCGCAGTTCGCATCCCGGACCCAGTGGCTTAGAACTCACACCGGGCGCATGTGCATGCATGCCCAAGATCCAGAGAGGAAAATGAAGGAGAAAGGATTGCGGCGTGACCATCCCCCTTGGAGGGTGATTTCTCGCTTTCTGTCTCTATGTCTCTCTCTGTCTGTCTGACGAGTGCAAGCGCCCTATAGTGAAAACCTCTCCAAAAAAAAAAAAAAATAGAATCCATGATCAGAATTAAGTATCTTTAAATTAAGTTCTTTTTAACTGGCTTCCTTCCCTCCCCTGACTCTGTTCTCTCTCCTGTAACTAGTCATATTTTCGGTGATCACTTCCCAAATAAACTATGCATGCTTGAACATATGTATGCTGGAAGAAGCTTGACTAAGACATTGGCCCTATTGAATATCTTCAGATTTTATGTCAATTTCGCTGGATATGCCAAATTTGCACTGAATCTAATATTTTGAGACGTTCTCTTTTGCTATGCCAAGGATAATATTTCAATAACCATTCCAATGCCATTGCAATGAATACTGTTTACACACAAATAAAGTTAAATGAGTATCCTTTTTGATTATCTCGTTTGAGAAATAAAGCATTACATTTTGTTTGCATTTTCTAGAATAATTGGTGACAGGTTAGTTTGTAAAATCTGACTGACATGAATCAACTATCTGAGGCAGTATCAAGCTGTATGAAATAAAGTCAAGAATGCACACAAACTAAAGGATTTCTAGAGGATGAGATGAAGCAAATAGAGGAGTAGACATGAGAGTTCCCCACCCCTTTTTTCTTGAGTTGGACATAATTCTCTGGCCCACATGGAAGAAACTCTCAAGAAAAGTTTCAGAGGCTAGTCACCTGGCATATTGGCTAAGTCAGTCCACATGGCTGACTGAATGGTTCAAGGCCTAGACCTCATGGCTTGAAAAATGCCCCAAATGTGTGTGCATGTATGCCTGAAATCCTAAGAGGAGAGTGGAGAAGAAGGAATTATGGTATGGTTATCCCCTCAGGGAGGTGTTTCCTCTCTCTTTCTCCTCCCTCCTCACCATGGTGAGTGCATACAACCTATAGCAAATTAAAAAAAAAAAAAAAATTAAAAGAGAAAAGTTTCATAGACTTTGTTGTGAATTCATTTAAACAAAGACATATCTTCAGTTTGCTCCCCAGAGAATTATACCACCTGTGAAACATTTTTCAGGAAATCTTGTCTCTTTGGGTCCTACTGGGTTGTCAGGAAAGTCATGACACATTTTTGCATAGAAGTCATAATGTTGCCTAGCACCTAGTATTTACCCCAGCGGTCCTTAGCCAGGGATAACATACTAAAGCATTTTGGGGACAAGGTCTCTTTCTCTTAGTAGGTATAATCTAGTTACCTGGAACTTTGCTGAAAAAAGTTCTATCAGGTTTCTTGCCTTTTTCTTTTTTTTTCTTTTTCATGGTGCCTTTCAGATGAAGGGAGTGTTAAACTAAACTATTAACCATTCTGGCCTAAAATAGCTGCTGTGCTCCTACACTTTCATTCCTATGGATAAGCCAAAATCATGCATGTTAGGCTGTTTTTCTGAGCTGCTTACTAAGTTGCAGCCAATCACACTAGCCACACTTCAGTCAGTCACAGAAAGCCCACCTTTCAGGCTGTTCGTGCCACCCACCATCCAGCTGTAACCGATGATTTCTCTACCTCGCTCCCTCACTTAGGTATTTTTTTTTTTTTTTACTGAACACATAACTGTCCCATTCTGCCCACATATGTTCCTTGTAAACCACACGGCTAGCCATAGTCTCTCAAAAGCCATCTTCTGAGAGGCGCCTGATATAACTTGTCTGCCCTTTGTTTAAATAAACTCTGTTAAATTTGGGGTTGTCTAAATTTGTTTTCAACAGGAGTAAAGCAATTGCTGGCCAGCTGCTTTAATGTTTCCTATTCAAGTGATTTCAGAGACAGATCTATTTTTATACGTTGTAAAACAAACTATCCTCACTACTATTCCTCCTCTTCCTCCTTCTACATCTTTACGAATACATCCACTTTAAATGTAAAATTATATCCTCCAGAATATGGCCACAAACGATTTCATCTAAATTCCATGAATTAAAATGAGACACGGTAACCTATGATGGTTTAGTAAGATAGTCTTGTAACATCAGAAATATCTCAGCCTATTTAAGATTAAACTACGAAGTACCTAAAGTCAAGGGGAGATAGAAATTGCAGATTTAATTCAGGAAAAAGCAGTTATTTGATACTTACTGAAGCTACATTTACAAAATCATCATCTGAGAGGGTTTCTAACATTTCGGAGACAGATGTTCGGATCAGTTTAAGTGTCAGTCCACTAACACTTCCACTCCTGTAAACAGACAAACAGGTTATCATGTTGTTCATCATTTATTTAATCGGTAACATCACAAGAAAAAATAATGTCTGTATCAATGCAAGATCATTACATAATATTTAGATAATAATTTTGTCTTTAAAAATCAGCAGAAGAAATAATTTCTTGATAGGGTGGAAATGATACGAAATCTTGCCTTCTCTACCAATACCAATATCAATATGTATTCTTCACTGAAAATATCACAATTACAAAATTAAAAATAAAATGTGATACTGATGGCATATTCATCCTTCAGGAAATATGTATCACAGTACCAGCTCTGAGGCCAGGAGGTGGCACAGCACTAATGCAATCAGACCCACATGGAAAGGTCTTGGATTTAGATCTCTGAACCTCCCTGAGAACACAAGGCACTTGTGTGCATGTCTGTGACCCAGGCTCGCTGAGACCAGGGTGGATCACGGCACAAAGACCCTGTTGCTAGTACCTGTCAGAGTCTCTCTCTTCCTCTCTTTGAAGAAATGAACTTTAAAAAAAGCAAACCCTAGTTCTGTTAGCCAAGTTATATGGCAGAGTTAAAGGGTCAGCAGGTAGCATGGTGGTTAGGGCACTGGATGCCCACATGGATAACCATGGTTTCAGTCCCAGATCTGATGGCTTGTTTTCTCACTTTCTCTTTTACTCTTTTTTTTTTTCTCTCTCTGTCTCTCTCTGGTGAATGCATAGGCCATAAAGCAAATATATACATATTATATATGTGTGTGTGTGTATGTGTGTGTGTATAATAATTCTTTAAAAAGGGAGGGGGAGTTAAAGATGATAATAGACCTAGCCATTGCTCTAAGGATCCTATTAGTTGATTTAATTAATACAACACTTATAACAATGGTGATAATAAATCTGTGGGGGGAAAAAAAAAACAAAAACAGATTTAGTTTCACACCCCAAAACAGATATCTTTCCAAGACTTAGTCTTGGTTTTTCCTTCTCTATATAATCTATTACCTTCCATGACCCCACTTACCTATTGGCTCTTTTCTAGACAAGGAATTCTCACTCTTACATCTCTAGCTCCCAATGCTTCTTTTTCGTTCCTCCACTTTCTCTATAGAGTTCCTCCAGATGTTCTCATCTATGCTACGTTGCTTCTGTCAATTCTTTCATTTGAAATTCACCTCTTTCCTCTCCCTTCCCATGCCTGCCTCATAAAATCTTAGCCATAAAAATTCATCGAAATATAGTCGTTTTTTTTCTAAAAGAGATTTTTGCCATGGAATACCTGTACTTACTGGAGAGACAGAGAGACAGAAAGCAAGAAATCATCTCCCCCACCACCAGGGAGGATGGCCATGCCACAGTCCCTTCCCTTCCTCTCCTCTCGGGATTTTGGGCATGCATGCACATACGTCTGGTGTGAGTTTCAAGCTGCCAGGGCCAGGACTTGAACTGTGGTTGGCCATGTGGAACCAGCAATGCAATCTTTATGCCATTTGGTAATTCCAAATTTTATCTTCTTAATGCTTTGCTATACCTTAAATCACTGTGGTCTCTCTTCTATGGACTCCCTTTGTATCCATTGCTTCCTATAATTGTTTTATTTATTTGCAAATGTGATTTAGTTTCCATAACACATTTAAATTTTCTTTGAGGTTAGGGACGATGGCCCGGTCTTTGTCATTGTGCTATCATATTGTATATAGGAGAACCTCAATATATTTCTGTTGAAATGATTTTTTAAATGGTATTTCAATGTCATACACATTTTCAATCTGAGGATATGTATTTGGCTTCCACACATTTGAATATTAAAATTATTTCTGGAAATTATTATACATCCAACAATACTATATATTGCATTAGCATTTAGATACATAATTAGGATTAATATCAAGGATATTTATATCCCAAAAATTCACGACAAATTTAAAAAATATGTGCCTTAATGCATCTTAATAAGTAAAAAGAAAATGAACATTTAAGTTACATTTGCCAAATTCTATTATCTTTCCTTTTTCAAGTTGGGTTATAAGATTTTGGACAACTAAACTGAGCTGGGCCATAAGACTTTGGACAACCCAATTAAATTATTTAAGGCCAAAAGAAGAAAATTCAGGGACCAGCAGTTAGCATAATGGCTATGTTGTTGGACTCCCATGTAGTCGACTGTGGTTTGAGTCCCGGACCCAGCGGCTTAAACTCATGCTGGGCATGTGTGCATGTGTGTCCAAGATCCCAAGAGGAAAATGGAGCAGAAGGGATTGTGGTGTGGCCATCACCCCTGGGTGGGGGGTGATTTCTCGCTTTCTGTCTCTCTGTTTCTCTGTCTTTCTGATGAGCACACCCGCCCTGAAGGAAAAAACCTCTACAAAAAAAAAAAAAAGAAGAAGAAAATTCAAATGTTGATACCCGCCTGTGATATAGCTGCATATGAATCAATGAATTCTCTTTCTTCCGGTGATATAAAAGATATATTAAGATATACATATTTTTTCTCTTGGAGAAAAATATTTTATGCTTCATGCATTGCCTTTAAAAGTTAAATCTGCATAGCATGGTAGATTCTTTCAAATGTTCTATATTTACATGTTCAACCTTATTAGAAAAAGTATACACAGGGTCAGCAGCAGGTGGCATGGTGGTTAAGGCATTGGACTTTCACATGGCTGACTACAGTTCCAGTCCCAGACTCGGGAGCTTAAAAATCACACCAGGTGCATGTGCATTTGTGCCCCAAATCCCAGAAAACTGGAGGAGAAATTATTGCAATGTGACCATCCCTGCCCTGGGGGGCTGATTTCTCATTTTCCCTCTCATCTCTCTCTGGTGAGTGTATGCACTTTGTGGCAAAAACCTTAAAAAAGAATGTATACACAAGCATACACACACACACACACACACACACACACACACACCTTAAGTTGAGCAATAAAACAAATTTTAAAAATTACCAATAGGGAACCAGCAGTTAGTGTAATGGCTATGTTGCTGGACTCCCATGTAGTTGACCCAGTGGCTTAAAACTCACGCTGGGCACGTGTGCGTGCGTGCCCAAGATCCCGAGAGGAGAATGGAGGAGAAGGGATTGCGGCATGACCATCCCCCATGGGGGGTGATTTCTCACTTTCTGTCTCTCTTGTCTCTCTCTGTCTATCTGGCGAATGCATGCGCCCTATAGCAAAAACTTCTCCAAAAAAAAAAAAAAATTACCAATAAAAATTTCCCCAAATTCTTTCTTGTATAGCAACGTTTCCCTTAAAAATGCCAGTATTAATATTTAGTACATTTAATATTGTCTATATTGTGACCAAATCCATAAAGTTAATTGAATCATTAATGACTAAGTTCCAAATAACTGATTCCTTTTTTTTTAAATTTAGAAATTGTTTAGTTTTTGGTTTTGTTTTGTTTGTTTGAGAGAGAGATTTTTGCCATAGGACACATGTGCTTGCCAGAGAGGCAGAGACAGAGAAGCAGAAAGCAAGAAAACATTGCCTGGAAGGATGGTCATGGCACAATTCCTTCTCCTCCATTCTCCTCTTGGGATTTTGAGCACGCACTCACATGTGCCTGGAGTAAGTTTAAGTCACCAGGTCCGGAACTCGAACCTCAGTTGACTACGTGGGAGTCCAATGACATAAAATTACGCCATCTGCTAGTTCCTGGAATTGCTGAGTTTTAGCAACCTTGTATTAGGATATTGTTCAAAATATAAATCAGAATTCATAAATAATTTTAGTATTATGCCATAATTTTCCATTCCAATATAGAGTCTTCTCATTTTAATGGAAGAATTTTTTGTTTTGTTATTTCCTCAATATGGAGTTTTTATCTGGAGAGAAAAGTCATCATAATTATTCACTAACATTTCCTAGTCTCAACATATTACTATTACCTACAAATCATCCCATATCCTCTGTAGATAAATATGTGATATTCAACTACTCACACATCGACCAGAATAAGCATATCTTTAGGAGATGCAGCTCCTTGGATATACCTGGAACAAATATCAAGTAAATGATTTTTTTATGCTGTTATATATTAAACATTGGTAATTAACATATTGACATTTATATCTTTCTGAGAGGTCTTTTTCAAGCAAAGACCTATTTCCATTCTATCTCAGTAGACAATAATCCTTTACACACATTCTATAATGTCGGTTTTAAAGGTTTATTTAACATAATATTAGAGATGCTAGAGGTATAATGTTTAAAGTATACTTTTCAGATATTTATACCAAACATCAAGAGATATATCTTAATACTGGCAGTGAAAGAAATTAAATTTGGGAAGGACATTTTTCTAAAAAATAAAAAACATTCTTGAATTCCAACTGTTGACCCCTGGTTTTAAAAGTCACTCTAATAAAAAACAGATTATTACATTTCTAAATCCAAAAACTAAACACGAAAATAGATAAGTGGTTCAGGAATGTGAAAAAGCAACGTCAACACAAAACAAATAGATTGTAAGTAATTAACAGTACAGTAATATACAATGTCATGACCAATAATTTAAAGTGGCGGTTCTCAAACTTTAGACTATCTAAGACTATCTGGATAATCAGTTCAAAATGTTGATTCCTGAAGTCAGTCCTACAAGAATTATAATCTCTTAATTTTAAAGAGACTCCAGGAGAGTTTCATGCAGATGATTAAGCAATTGTGGGGAGAGAAAAGTCTGATTGCAGGTGAATGACCCCAAAATCTCCAGTCCCGGGCCATAGAATGATGGGAACAAGGAGCCTGCCATCCTCAACAGGAAGGATTATACCTGAACTTGTTACTTTTCCCTGAAGCTTCTTTGCCCATGATTCTAAAGCTAACTTCGCAGAAGCCTTCCAGGTAACAGTCCAATTAGTTTTCAGACCACACGCAGCACAGTTAATATCTAACCAGCACAATATGTTGACAAAGCAGTTATCATCAGAATTTATAACCCACGCGCACACATATTTCACTGTAAGAAAGTAAAGTGGCAGGGTGGCAGCTGCAGAAAGCAAATAGGGTTCATGCCCAACCTCTTAAATTGGTCCCTGTATGCTTCTCATTGGGAAGATGAGGGGACATATTATCTCCTCTTCTGGTGCACCTAGCTTCTAAATTTCCCTTCCCCCAAACAACCAATGTCTGAACCCAAATCATGTGGATACAGTTGTCTGTGCCTCCACTCAACAAATCCAGCACCACACATGCCGGAGAAATATTAACAAGAGTAAAATGTGCATTAACAGTATCTGCTACTATTAGATACGGCTGCTGTTCATGTAAGTTGCTATTGGGACATTTAACAGGGCATTTTAGAAAAAGCCTTGGCCAGCCACAGGGGGGCAGTGGTAATGCAATGAAAAGAATCCTGGAAGGCCCTAGGCTGGTGTCTTGAGCTCTTCCTGTACACAATGGGCTCATGTGCATATATTTAAGAGGGTCACCAATTAAATTATTCTGGAATGAAGGTGTTTTGCAACCACTGAGGCACAGCAGGAACACAATCTTGTGGAATACTGCACCCATACAGGAAGTTCCCAGGTTCACATCCTGAGGTCTCCATGTGCAAGTTGGGTACGTGCATGCATGACCACGATGTTGGCTAGCTGAGGCTGGGGTGGATTGCAACATTAAGAAGCCTTTGGGGGGGGTGCCTTCTCTTCCCCCCACCTCTCATTTTTTATTCTTTCTCCTTTTTCAGAAGAAATTTTAAAAAGCCTTAAATATATGTCCTTTGAATCAACCATTATGCTTGTTTGAACTTCAGCAGAAAGATGGAAATGACCTATATAGTAGCAGGTAATTTCCTATACATGCTCCCATAGAGTCTTCTTTTAAAAGACGCTAGGTGTCTCTTCTCATGAACACGTACTCACAAATAGTGATATAAAAAATGGTAGTGAAGAAAACACTAAGTCGTAGATAATATGAATTCATTAGAAAAAAACATGCATTCCCAAATTAAACACAATTTTTAAAAACTCAAAAATTACAATTCATAGTTTAAAGAAGGTAACAGTTTCTCAGTAAGTTCAATCATGGGTTATGGACATTTTTCAAGTTTTATGTTAGGAAAATGAATTGCTCTCATAGTGAGGAACAGAACTTCTTTTTGGGAAAATATATCACCTAAGCTAGATGAATGTAACTCAGGGGGAGCTTCTACCTTGGGGCCATTCCTCATTAGTTCACTGCCAGAGGCAAACTATCTCCCTCTCTTATCTCATCTCCCTGTTAGAGCTCTCTATTCCAGCAGGCCAGAAGCCTTTCAATAGAAACCAACAGCTAAGAGACATTTAAAGCTGAGAGTGAATATAAAACAAAGTAGTCCATTTGAAATAAATGTGATAAATCATTTCAAAAATGTTCATCATCATTTTTATTTGAACTTACCATTTTCTAAGTTCCCCTCAACTACTTTTATTTATTAAAAAAAAAAAAATCACCAACAGAGTACTTTAAATAGGTAGACAATTTCATCCTAATCATGATAATATTCCTTCAATTCAAAACAAAAAACCCTTTATTTTTTCTATGCTATTCTTTCATGGCCAGTTAAAACTCTTACCATGGTCTTCTGCGTACATCATAAAGATCAATCTTGTTTGGAGTTCTACTATTATCAACCCATGGAGAAGCTAACAAAAAGTAGAGAAATTAAATTAAAATATTAGATACACTTTATAAAAATAATTTAGAACTTTATAAAAATCACAAAGACCTCCATATAAACATAATTCCTCTTATCTACATCAATGTGCAAATCAAATGGGAGACACAATTTGTATGCTGTTAATTTTTTTTTATACTAAAGTGAAAAACAACATAAGACACAAACAAAAATGATCAACATAAGTCAATTCTCTTTTTTCACATTGTTTCAGAAACAACTTTAAGACCTAGGTGTTTTTTGGGTACTCTCAATTATTTGACCCTCAAATTTTCTTTCAATTCCATAATGTCATAAAATATTTCAGATGATTGTTTTTCTTATATTGTCATAATGCATAATATTTAACCTTCATATTCATATCATTGATAAGGATCAATCATGTTGAAATTAAAATTAAAAGATTAAACTATAGGTAAAGTACCTCTATTAAACTGTTACATTTAAATTCATTGGAATGATATGAGATAATTAACGTGCATATTCAACAATCTTGTGTTAGCTTCACAGCTTTGATCATTTTGATAATCAGAAAAAACTTCCTACTCTAATTGTATAGATTTTTAAATAGAGTTAATTCATATTTACTCCAATAAAATATGTACATGCTTTCATAAAAATGCTTTACAACATTTCATTTGCATGCACATTTTAGATCTAATGGAGAAAAATAAGTGCTGATGAATTGAATGATAATTTTACGCTGAAAAAGTATTTTTCCTTGAACATAGTTAAATATATGACTCCTGAGAAAATTTCTAACTCATTTAACTTTTGCCTCACAATCTATTTTTTTCCTTTTCATTGAAAAACTATGAAAACTATGGCAACCTTGCTGAGACTTAGATTTATTAGGCTACTGAGATCATCTGGTCAATTAAGTTATGTCAATTAATATATACTTAAGCCCCTCTTTGAATATGAAATTTCTTTCTTATTAATGGCTATGTTATAAAATGATTAATCATATTTACATAAAATAGTAAGTATAAATATAACACCCTTCCAACAACCATTTATTGATGTTACGAGACAAAAATAGTAAATTTACTTTAACTCTCTCAATTTGCATTTACAGAAACTGAGAGCCAATGATATAAAATACCACTTTTTGGTTTCCTTTTGTGGTAACACCAGATGTAACAAGAATGCTGTTTAAAATGTGAGTTCAATTTCAATGGTTTCTCTATAATGTTATGACTCTCCAAAGGTCTCAGTAATAACTAAAAATGTAAAGAAACTATATACTACTTTCTACTTTCAGTACTATATTATGATAGTTATACATTTATTTTTATTTTTAAAATTTTGCTATAAGGCACAAGTGCTCACAGGAGAGAAGGAAAGTGAGAAAGTGCCCTTCAGCGGGGATGGCCATACAACAATCCCTTCTCAATTCTCCTCTAGGGATTTCTGGCACACAAGTACATACACCTGGTGTGTTTTCCAAGGTTCAAGGTCTGGGTCTCAAACCACAGTCAGCCATGTGGATTCCAGCTGCCTTAACCACCAGGCCACCAACTGGTACATCTATTGCCTTTCAACTTCATATGTACCCATTTAACTTGCTCTTCACAAACAGATCTGGACCCTTTAATACTTTTATTTTACCAGTTGGCACAATTTCAAGCTTTGCCAGCAGATGATGCAAGGCGGACACTAATAAAGAAGGGCTTTCACTTCAAGGTTCTGGATTGTCTGCTTACAGGCTCTTGCAACTTTTCACGTGTCCATCTAATACCGTGTATGTGGGATCTCTAGAGTTCATCCACAGTGTTGCCATTTCCACAGTTTACTGGTGCCACTGAGTCGTGGGTACCTTCACCAGGCTCAGGCTCTAAAAGTGCATGTAGATTTTCCACATTTACTGGCGTACCCTCTGGACATTTCTGTAGTAGAAAGATAACTGGAACTTCACAAGGTGAATTTCCAGCTAATCCTTTTTTTTTTTCTTTTTTAAAATTTTAATTTACATTTAATCACTGTACATCTTTACAATGTACAATGTGATTTTTCTCAGCATGAATACAGTGCATATTAGTAAAGTCGAAGACATTACCATAAACATCATCAGCCCATATGTTTTGATTTTTGTGTCTATTTAATGTGCTGTTTATTTTTCACCTGAACCCCACCCTCCCACCTCCTATTACTTGTCCCCATACTATCTCTGGTACCTCTAGTTGTCCTCCCTATTATTATACCTTCCAATCTTTCAGTTTCTGCTATAGAGCACAGACATTCAATACATATTAAGCCGAGACACACAAAGCCTGTCTTTCATAGTCTGGCTTGCTTCTCTTAGCATTAACTCTTCCATGTTCATCTACTTTGTATCAAATGTCAGGGTCTCTTTTTTTTTTAATTTAAACTTATTTATTTATTTACATTCATTCACCGTACATCATTAAAGCATACAAAATGAGATTTTCCATCCAGAGTACACTGTATACTGTCTCAATCAAGCACATCAACATATATGTTACTGTCAGCAAATAATTTTCTATTTCTTGTTTTCCGTATGTTCTGCTTTTTTTCCCCCCATCCTTGATTCCCTATCTCTTACCCTCTGCCATCTCCCACTCTCCTCCCACACTGTCTCTGGTATCTATGTTTGCTTTCTATACTGTATTCTCCCAAAATTTTATTGAATTACTAAAGGTCTTAATTAATCTAAATATTTTCATAGCAAACACAGCTGATATATACATTTCCATGAACACAAGTCTAACTTTAGGCATCCTATAAAGTAGCACCTAGCTGGGGCTATATATCTTCCTGCAGTCATTGAATAGATATTTTTTTTCTGAAACTTTTTTAAAACTTAATTTACATTCTTTCCCTTAAGCATCATCACTGCATACAAAATGTGATTTCCCATCCAAAATATACTGCATAGTGGCTTAATCATGCATGTTATTAATCAAAAATTTTCCATTTCTAGTTTCTAGAATTTTTTTAACCCCTCTTTCTGACCCTCTGTTCTTTCCCACCCTCTTTTCACACTATCTCTGGTGTCCACAACTGTCTTCCATTCCTTTTTCACCCACATTGTATTGATCACACAATTTCTTAAATAATCTAACTACTCTCAATAGTAAGTTCACTTGGTACTATTAAGAAAACCAGTTTTAACTTAAATCAAAGAAATGCTAAGGAACTTTGCTTAAAGCCAGGAAACAGGTTAGGATTCTGTTCAAATTGTAGATGCATGAACCTATCAGTCTCATGTACTTTATCATTTGTTGTGGTTCAGTTTTCCCGATTAAATTCTGGGGTATAATACTCAACTCCATTGTAGGGACAAGTCTGAAATTTCCAGCTAATTCTATCCACATGGCATCACAAGGACTTCTTTGCCTTAGTGAGGCATGACAAATGTCCTCTACGAGAAGGTGTGAATCTTGGGACTAGCAGGTGGCATGGTGGTTAAGGACGCTGGACTCCCACATGGCCAACCACGGTTCAAGTCCTGGACGTGGAGGCTTGCTCTCTCACTTTCCCACTCCCTCCTTCTCTCTTGCTCTATCCCTCTCTGGTCAAAATTTAAAAATGAAATAAATGAATGAATAAATAAAAAACAAAAGAATTCTTAAAAAAAAAAAAAAGAAGGTATGAATCTCAGCCTCAAAGTGCTACAGTATTATAGGCTCTTTACTGGGCATTCTATCTCAGCCCTAGGGGCAGTTACTATTTGGTTATGTCATATTTTATCAGGTATTCACATAATTTTTAGAGTTCTCTATACTTCTGGTCAATCTCTCATTATTCTAGTCTTTGTTGCAGTTAATAATTCTTTATTTTTAAAAAGTGCCTTCCCCTGGGCTCAGCAAATGGTGTAATGATTATGTTGCTGAACTCCCACATGGCCAACCATGGTTCGAGTCCTGGACCCAACAGCTTGAAACTCACACCGAGTGCTTGTACTTGCATGCCCAAAATCCTGAAAGGAGAATGGAAGGGAAGGGATTACAGCATAGCCACCCTCTTTCGGGGAGAGGGGGATTTTCCTCTTTCTGTCTCTCTCTTTGTCTCTCTGGCGAGCACACATGCCCTATAGCAAAAATCTCTCTCAAAAAAAAAAAAAAAAAAAAGTGCCTTCCCCTACTCAAAATACTGTGTTTTTCTTTTTCTTTTTTTTTTTTTCTCCTAATTGGACTGGTCTGATATAAATGCTTGGGAGAGATCAGAGAAATGAGTTACTACTGCTAATACAGTATTAGTCACTGTGAGTTAAAGTGTTCAACAATGATTTGATAAATGGCTTCCTGTAAGTGGAATTTTAAAGTTGTGTTTAAATTAAGTTTCTGAATTATTTTCAAATCATAATTATCCAAGATTTCTGTTTTCACTATAATTGCTAATTGAAACTTAACTGATAAGTATTAATGTACTCCATAAAATGTATATCATTCTTTAAGGACAAAAAAAATTAAAAGGCTATAAATACAGTATGAGTCATTAATTTAGTTTATAGTCTAATACAGTTTATATTTTAAAATGCAAATGATGTTCACTTAGAAATTTTCTGAGATATTTACAATTAGGTAGCAAGCCTTGATTATACTAAATTAGGATATTTATACTGTGGTAAAAATTAAAAAAATATAATTTCTCCTGTGATATTAGTAATTAACTTGTTGTAAAATTCTATTGTGGCATTTAAGTGGTATGTTATTTATGTAGGCTCAGAAGACCAAGTAGTAAAAAAATAATAACCATACACTGCAATGCTCTCAAATAATCAGTTTTACAATTATGCATACAGAAAGCTACATATTTTGAGAGGTAATCAGAACTTCTAAAATCCCTGTGGAAAGTAAACTGTTGCTCACTTCGGATGTCTCTTTTGCTTTCCAGTAAGATTCTGGGGTGATAGGAGATAAAAATGGAAATAGCCCACCGTGTGGGCATCACATTTCTGAATGCTTTCAGTAAAGGCAATGATGATCATTTATGAGAATATCT